ACGAGGTGGACTGATAAGAGCCATTTTAGGCCCATAACACAATCAAAAATAAAAAGTTCGATTCCAGACTATTATAGAATTTATTTGTGAACTTCAAGACGGGTATTATATATATATACTATTTACGGTATAAATAATGTAATATGCTTCAGAAATAGAGTATTTAGCGCTTTTTGTGCATTTTTGTTGTTTTTCGATCTTCGAATCATGTTTTCAGTACGAAGCGTTCCATGAACCACATTAACTTTAATGCTAAGTGAGTCTACTTATTTGAAGCTTGTATATGAGTATTTATTTGTTTTGGTTCAGTGAGCTCATCAATCCAAAAATACGTAATATATGCTACGGGAGAGTGTGAGTTACGCTGCAATTGCTGCGTGTTCAGACATGATCTTCCGCGCACGAAAAGTATTTACGTAGTGAAGGTATAGGTAGCTCTGATAGTGATTCGAATGAAGAAGACAAGGAAGAATATTAGTACAAAATATACAGTGGACCTCCGGCAATCCGACAAACATTATGCAGGGCAGTGTCGGATTATCGAATTTGTCGGATTATAGATCACTGCCTAAGACCCCCTATAGTCCGGAATTTTTTACAAAAGAGTACCTTGTAATCCGACAAATTACATATCCAATGTTAAGATTATATATGTTATGTACGTAGTCGTGCCATAAGTTCTGTCCCATGATAATCTCATGATAAAAATGAAACAAGATAAGATATATTTATATGAAAGATATTATTTATTCGACAACATTTTTAGAATTCATAATCAAACAGTTTTATTCAAAATGTCCCCCCTTGGCCTTCACACACTGCTTCAATCTCGCGGGCCACTCATCTATCACTGCACGCACAGCTTCCAAAGGAATAGCTGCCGCTGATCGGATCAAATCCGCTTTCAGGGACTCGATATTACGGTGGGCTTTGGAGCAGGCCAACTGCTCTAGCAGGTCCCACAACTTGTAGTCTAAAGGATTGAGGTCCGGACTCCCTGAGGGCCAATCTTCCGCAGCAATGAACTCTGGCACATTGCTTTCCAGCCAGCGCTGCGTACTCTTAGCCTTGTGAGCGGGGGCGGAATCCTGCTGGTAGACCCAGTGTTGGTTGGCAAACAATGTACCACTTAAAGGCTTGACGATCGGATCCAGTATGTCGCTCTGATAGTTTGCCGCTTTTGTTTTCACGCCCTGTTTACAGAAATGGAGCTGAGTGACCCCTTCGTAGGACACCCCCCACCAAACCATGACTGACGCAGGGTGGTGGCCTCTCTCAACTCTCGGAATGATCTCCGAAGCTTCCTGTGAACTCCTTGCATACACTTTGTCATTTTGTCGGTTGAATTTTTCTTCTATGGTGAAGATTTTCTCATCCGTGAACAAAATCTTTCGGAATCCCCCAGCTGCGTACCTCTCCAAGAGCTTCTTGGATCTTGTCGCCCTGATGTGTCGCAAGGTGGCCGTAAGTCGCTGGCCCGTACGTCTCCGGTAAGCCCCTAGCCCTAGGTCTTGTTTAATGATGCGCGACATCGTCCGGACAGGAATCTTCATTTCCCTGGATAGGATCTTCTGCTTCCGGAGTGGATTCCTTTGAATCCTGGCTTTTACGGCTTTGATGGCTGCTGGAGTCCTTACTTGACGAGGTCTTCCGCTTCTTGGCCTGTCATCAACAGAGGACGTCTCATTGTACCGCTGAATGGTCCTAGACACAAATTTACGCGATATTTGAAGGCCGCGTAAGAGTTCAAAAATCTGACTAGCACTGTGATTACACTTATGTAAAGCTATCACTGCAATACGGTTCTCTGCCTTGCCCCACTCCATCGTTATGCTTCGAGAGATCAATACAAACTGAGGTATATGTAATTACCCGAAAAGCGCTTAATCAACTGACACCACAATGTAAACAATCGGACAAGTATTAACAGGTCTACACTTGTTTGAAAACGAGGGACAGAACTTATGGCACGACTATGTATATGTATGTACTTTGAAGTACAAATCATGTTTATGTATGTCGAATTTAGCAAATTAGATAACAATAGAGAACTTACGTTTTATTATAAAATTAAGCATAAATGCACATGCATATGTACCAAAATAATCAAGAATTATTAATCAAAATCATTAATGAATTTATCAAATTATGAAGCTTGGAAATATTCATCAATTTTTTGTTTGTTTAAGGTTGTTATACCGCGAGATCAGAGCTTTGTCCCCAGTCTTCTCAAAAGTAAAAGTTCGTTGTAGGATGTACCATTCTCTTCAGCCCATTATAAACCTAGCTCAAAGGCGTCAATGGCGTCTTGTGCTGTGACTTGTGGAGCAGTTGCAATCACGTCGTCGTTATTTTCCTGATTGTTTATTGTATAATTAGAAACCTCTTTTATAATCTCTTCGTCAGACATTTCATGAAAAACATTTTCCTCTTTATCCATTCCACGACACCAGATTTCCAAATCTTCCGGACTTATCTGTGTTTCAGTATCGAGTTGTTCTATAACATCCGAAGTTACACTGATTTGTGGAACGTTGCTAGTCGTGGTGACTATATCTGGCCATAACTTTTTCCAAGACGATTTAATAGTTGATGACGGTGGCGCATTCCACGACTGACAAAGAGCAAAAACCAAGTCTTTCATATTAAATCCTTTTAAAGTTTTTTCTATTGGTTGGTCTTTTGATACGGCTTTCAGAAGTAGGTTTTCATTATAGTCTTGCTTGACAAACTGAATGATATTCTGGTCCATTGGTTGAATCAGTGCAGTGCAATTTGGCGGAAGAAACATCGCAGTGATGCATTTATCCTCAGTTGTTAGTTCTTCTTCAGACGGATGACCGGGAGCGTTATCAAGAAGCAACAACGCTTTTTGAGGAAAATTATGATCTTTTGACCATTTTCTAACTTCAGGTACGAAGTATTCATCAAACCACTTTTTGAAAAGGTGTTTTGTCATCCATGCACTTTTTTGTCCGTAATAGTGTACAGGTAAACTAATGTTTTTGAATGTTCGTGGTTTATTAGATTTCCCAATGACCATCATCTTAAGCGCGTGTGTGCCCGCAGCGTTAGCACATGGTAGTATGGTTACACGCTCTTTACTTACTTTTCGTCCAGGTACGGATTTACTGATTCGTCTGCATTGTACACCTGTGACGGGTCAAGATTTAAATCGTTCACCTTTTGCAAAAATCTTAATTTAAAGCGCTCTATTAGAAAGTTTCTCTCCTGTAATAATCATTAAACGTATGCCATGATGACTTTTAAAACGTTCTAGCCATCCTTTGCTGGCCACAAAATCATTTTTTTTTGTGATTTCCTTATAAAAAAACTTAGCTTTCATAGCCAACATGGGTCCTGAAATTGGTTCCTGAAGAAACCACATGTACAAAGCTTCTTCCAATTCTGGATGTTCATCTTTCTTGAGTGTCTGTCTTTTGCCTGGCCCGCAATCAGTAGTTGACACGAACTTCTTGATCTTCTCGTGGTTTTTTTTAATGTCATAAATTGTAGATCGGCCTACGCCGTATTCACTTGCTAAACTACTGAAAGTTTCATTGCGATTTAAGCGGTCTAAAATATCACATTTTTCTTTAATTGTCAATGTTTTGTGCTTTCGCTTCTGAGTTTGTGATGACATTAGTAGTTACTATAATTAAAGCACAATGAATAAATAGTAAACAATGAACGCACGCTAGGCCGTACCGCTATCATAAGTAGTCAAATTCAAACTTCAAGTCAAACAATGTTTGCGCGTCGAGAATGATAGCGGTGGCGCGTACAAGTTGTAACCTGTTCAAACCTGCGTGATCTACATTAGCGAAGATTGTCAAATACGTATGTATATAATATTCAAAGACATGTCGGATTACAGGGGGCGCCGGATTAGACAGTGGCCGGATTATCGGGGGTCCACTGTATTATGTATATGAAAACTGATTATCTTTTATTATTGTTTAATAAAGATATATAACACTCAGATAATTATTTAATTTATGTATACCACGAATTTCAGTTTTCATTTGAAATAAGTATGTTTTCTTCTTACATACTATACATATATAAATATATATGTCATATCTATCTATTCGCTGATGGGCAAAAAATGGCTCTTATCAGCCCACCTCCTTCCATAAATGCTGATTGTTCTCACCTGTGATGTGGACATGCACTGAGAAACTTCAAGGTCTTATAAAATAACAAAGGTCATCGCGGGCTCTCGGTCTATAATTAAAATCCAAATAACCACTCCTTGAATTAGTGCTATATGTATAGATAGGAAGATAGTTGTACTTCGAAAAAAGCTATCAAGGCACCCAGTGTTAGTAAAGTATTTTTTCATTTTAGACATTGGCCAGTGTTAGAGAGTAAGTTTGAAAATTTCCATCAACGTTCAGATGTGTAGATGGCAATGTAAAGCGGTGCGTCTGATCGAATGTCAATGATGTGTGGTGCTTTGTAAAAGTGTCATGTATGCGAGACTAAAGGCGGGGACAGATTATTGTCACGTCACGTGATGCCACGTTCCAGTGTACTTCCACGTATCATTATTCTAAGAGATGTATGTATCTCCAGGAAAACTTTTCATTGAACTCAGATATCAAGCGATTATGCCGCATTTATGCTATCGCACAAGCTTATTAAATGGTTTGTTTTCTGCTATAAAAATATACTACCATACACTAGGCATGATAGCTCGCCCAACCTCAAAATATAAATTCTATGATGATATAATCTATTACCAAAACAAAGATATAAGCGCAATGCATCGTATGCCACTGTGCGTTAGCGATGGCGTGCGATAAGTTACGTTAATTGGTCCCGTTTCGTGCTTGATTATTCCACACGAACCCGTGATGAATGTGTGAGGTGTGACCAGAACGTCCCACCACATATCTTTGAGGTACCGTGAGTTTGTGTGATAGCACGCGAGCTAACGTGACGTGATAGTAACGTGTTTCTGCCTTTTTAACATATTTTAATATCATTTCCAATACCTGATTGCCGTCATAGGTCCAGCTACCGAACTTCATGTCACAATGTTGGTCATCAAATGGGAACCACGTAATGTCTATCTTGCATGTGCTCTTGAAGATACCGGGAGGGACATACAAGCAGCTGCCGTTATGTTTGACCACAACGTTTGTTTGGTAAGTCCCGTCGAAACCCTCATCAGCACTTCATTGTAACAACACAAACTGTGTTAAAAAATCGCCTATCATGCTTGACTGACTGACAACTATTCTGTGATTTTGTGGAACACCGATCGCCGCGATATCTTACATGCAACAGTCATCTGTAGATCAGGCTTATAGTCGAGTACCAAAATTGAAGAGAGCATCGTAATACATCGTACGTCACTGTCTATTTGAATATGTGCTAACAGTGGCGGCGGTGAGCTATGTTACTGTCTTCTAATTTGAAACTTTGCACAGAAAAATGTATAGACGGATTTTTTAACGGATAATATTCTTGAGAGCAAAAGAAACGGTCAGGCATCTAACGATACAAAATATTCTGTTCGGTAACGTTTTTAATAGACGTCAAAGCTGGAGATATCGGTATTTAGAGTATAGGCATAAGAGATCTACAGAAGAGTTGTCGGGGATGAGACGACCTCAAAACGAGATTTACTACAGTTTTGTTTTTTAATGATAACCACACCAGTCTTCATTTTTCATTTCAGTTTTACCTTTATGCAGTTGCAACTTTTTCTTGTAGTCTTCTGTAGACTAGTTATACCAATACATCGTAGTTTTTTTGAATATATATGAAGTGATGTTCTCCAATCTTGTCGTTTGGTAAAAAAGTTATCTTGAAAACTCTTTGTGATTCTAGATGAGGGCCCTTCTTATTTACTCACAAAGGTATTATTCCATTATAAAGTCTGTCTATAGAATTTTTGTTCTAGAATTAGAGATATCCTGATCTACTGACGAAGATCAAACATATAGATCATGAGGTACTTCCAGTTTCTAACTGAGCACTGCCCCAGTGTCTATCTAAACCAACTTAAACCTATTTGGTTTAACACTGAGGCCTTTTTACCTTAGAAAGTTGGAAGACATCTGATCCACATGCTTGATACTTTCATTCCAAATCGCTGGCATTCTTAACTAAAACACCTGAACTTGTTTGCTACCCACAATGTACTGCAATCCATAAGATCCCTGGAGTTAGACCTACGACATTTGCTACTATTAATTTTAGCACGACACTTCCACTTTCAAAATGTTTTTAGGTTGCTCTATCCGTAACGCGTACAGAAGCGACTCAAAAGTAGGAGAAAATTGAGCAGTAACCAAAGTAGTGTTTCTATAAATCATCATTTGATTATAAAAAGGGTGATATACCTAGGTACTTCGATGTGATAGACATATTACTATCAAGTTACCTAGTCTATGTACCCGTATGTGAGGCATTCTGTATTTGTTTTATCAAAGAATCCCTCTTCCTTTTTATTTGTCGTTTGGTCTAGATACAAACACCGTACGCAATTCACCTATCTAACAATTAAAAAAGTTCGAATTGGGCTATAAATATCTTACAACGGACTTTATTGAAGTTTATAATGGCACTTCTGAAGTCCTTAGCCTCGTCGTTAAAGTATCTTTAACAAGATTGCTTTGTAAACGTAAAGTGCTTTTCCCTACATTTCGGCTCTTTTTGTAGCTTTGATAAAAAAAGTAATAAGTTGCCGCTTATCTAAAACCAATTCAGGATCCATCATTTTGGAAAATGCAATAAAAAGATCGCAAACACATTCAGGTATGTTAAGTACCAAAATGAAAGCGAATAGCGTAACGTATCGTACGCTACTGTTAACACGGCATATGTCAAGTTAGCAATGGCGTACGACGACTTTTGCTACTCTTTGCCATTTTTATACTTGACTATAGTTCCAGTTAAGGTGGCCTTCGGTTGTATTGATATTTGGTCACACACTTTTTGTTAACATCGAGCACATCGAACATCTATTTGACATTTGGCAGTGACAAGCTAGCCATCGTTCTTTTTATATTACATATTCTATCAGAGCGCATCATCATAACCATACAGAAAGTTGCTAACATAGAAGTCATCATACTCATTTGCTCTACGTTATTCAGTAACTGTATTTTCCCATTTTGCACCTGAACCATATACAGTCAGAAACAGAGTAGTAAATTAATGCAAATGCAAAATGAGTCGTGAAATCAGAGACATTCCGGCCACCATAAGGAGCCAGTGCATAGGCCGCTTAAACGGGCCCTTATGCACCTCTACATTCCTTAGATCACAAGCCACGCCCTTTTAGCAAAGTTGAGAATCGCCTTGAGTCCAAGCTCGTTGACGTCCTGACGGTCCAAAGTAATGGACCCCAGTATAGTCTGCCTATAGTAGCTCAGAGCTTCACAGCGACACAAAACGTGCGCCGAGGTCTCTTCCTCTACCCCGCAGCGCTCACACAAGGGTCCTTAGCCACCCCCATCACGTTCAGGTGGCGCCTTAACGTGTTATGGCTAGACAATCGTCCCACCAGCAATCTTAGGTTGGCTCTATCCATAGATAAGCAGAAACGTCCATCCTCAACACTGGGCCCTTCAATGAGTTCCTGTGCCTGGTGGAGATGTCTAGAGATACTTCTCCATTTCTGAGAGTGTTGTCTTGCAATCCACGTCTCCATTTTCCTCCTAGCTCTATGCGCGGTCACTCCTAAAGCAGGCTCAGGACCAACGAGGTTGCTGGCTGTCTTCGCCAGAGCGTCCGCCGTCTCATTGCCCCTTATCCCAGCCTGCCCCGGTACCCACATTACCGATACCGGATGCCTCGCTGCGAGGCAATCCAGAGCCTCCCTGCACTGCAATACAAGGGTCGAAGTGATCTTACAGACACTTAGTGCCTTCGTTGCAGCCTGGCTGTCGGAGAAGATTGTTATTCTTCTCCTAGGCCCACCCTCCTCCAGAATGCGAGATCCACAAGCCAGAATCGCAAAGATTTCCGCCTGGAAAATAGTGGTACATCCACCGAGAGGCAGAGATAGCCTAGTTCTAGGCCCACAGACCCCAGCACCTGAGCCCTCTTCGGTTACCGAGCCGTTCGTGTACCAGACTTGCCCGCTCACTACCGGCGTCCCACTCCTCCCTCGTTGGATACTCCACAAAGTTGAAGCGATATTTAGGGGTAATAGGATCACCCCTACTTAGAAGGCTGGGGTCCTCCCTTTGCAATTCGACTAAGATGGCGGTATGCCCCTTGACAGGATTCAAGAAGGACCAGCTGCCCTGTCTCCACAGTCGATGAGCGACTACTCTCGCTTTACCGCGGATCAACAGATCCAACGGTGGGAGATCCAACAGAGCTTCCATTGCACGCAATGGCGTTGTACGCACTGCGCTTGTAATGCTGATACAGGCCAAACGCTGAATTTTATTGAATTTGGCCTTAGTTGTCTCAGTTCTAATGCAAGGCCACCAGACCAGGGAGCCATACAAGAGAGATGGACGTACTATCGTCGTGTAGAGTCAGTATACCACTTTGTGTTTAAGCCCCCACCTTACACCGACAACACGTCTGCAGGCTCACATTGAGCCTTGCTAACCTTGTATTCAACATGATCAGTTTGCAATCCAGGATTATTCCCAGATATTTCACTGATTGGGACAGAAGCTCCCGATTTTTATACCACATCACTTATAACAGAAGGCAGGGCTATAGGCATGTAGTTGGAGTAGCAAGGATCGGTCTTAGACCCTTTTTTGGATTGGGCTCAACATGAGAAATTTTTTAGGTTTCAAGGAAAGCACCGAATTCATGAGATATCTGGTAGAGACATCATCCTACATCTGTTCAGTACAATGGCACGAACCGAGTTCAGACCAGAAGCTTTATTGAGGTCAAAAGACAAGACATCCATGGTGGAGTTGGCAGCAAAGATCTTGACAAGCACCTCCGCCTTAGCTTTAAGTCGATTACAATCGTTCCATCCTGGCACGTAAGTAGTGGAATGCTACTCTGTGAGAAGTTCCCTTCAATCTACTAGACTACCCTACAGAAAGACTGACTGCCATTGCACTGTGACATTACCTTGTACCTAATTTTGAGTACTGGTCTTCGGCATTGCGAATTGTTTCTAGACACGACATCGGCTTGTCTGTTCTCTACAGTGGGGTATTGTAAGAAGGGTAGGCGTGGTACTCTATGAATAAAGATAGTACTGGCAGAGTCTCGATATACAGAGCTCAGCAAAACTAGTATGGAAGGCAGAAGAGTAAAAGACCCGTCTACCAGGCTTTGAGCACGTTTACCTCATTGAGGACATCTCGCCCACCTGTAGAAGAGAAGCGTGGGGAATTACAGAATTTATCCAATATTGTAGGAGCAGCAACACCTCAATCATGCCCAAGTGGGCCTTATTTGTGCCCCGTATAGCTGTTAGCCCTGGATACAATAGTATATACTACAGCTCAGTTGATTTAGTTCACTGTATGAAGGGTATTTAGGAAAATACATTACTGAATATCGTAAGGAAATATAATATACCTTCACATTTTCTATAAATGTGACTTAGACGTCATGCCTCTATTTTTCGCTAACAAAAATTAAATTAAATAGCAACGTCGACACTTTCTTTTCGCTAGACATATACTTTTTCATGCTTAGCTTTAGGTCTAGTCACAAAACATATACGTTCTATGTTCTGAATCAGTTTTTGTGTTCTTAGGTTTCCATGACACGCCCTGAACACAATGAGGAATTGAAAATTATTTGAACGACAGACGAAACCTATTTATTTTTTCTAACACTACATCAAATTGTGAAGATCCTTCGCACGAGAATATCCATAACATAAGCAGACGAAATGAGAATATATGTTGTTCTCATACTCGTACCTTACCACTATTTACAGATTTTTAGCCAACGTTTGAGATTGTCTATAAGAGAGATATGACTTTACTATGATGAATTTTATGGTTTTAAATACTCATTAGAATCTGGTGTCGTCCAAAAAATAGACAACTCACCATCACGTATATGTAATACATGAATATGTATGCAGTAGAATTCATAGCTTCTTTATTTGACCTGTACATGCATCTTGGAAAAAACAGATTTGACCAAGTACTGTGTTTGTTGTTACTATTACACACTTCGTTGAAAAATGAAACCAGAACAATTTTTACCATTCACAATTGATC